CAGAGACTGGCGAAACGTTAGGAAGAACAACCTTCAGAACATGGCCAAAGAGCCCAAAAAACCCACAACAACCATTAGATCCCGGCCGTGAAAGCCTTCGCGAATACATTAAATTTACAAAACACCAGAGGTACTGAAACAAGAGCTGTCGCACAGATATACTCACTGGCCGTTCTACCAGGTCATCTCGGCGGGTGATTTCAGGGGGAAAACTGCTACCCCGATAGCGAACGTTGTACCAGTGAGCCTGTCGTAGGAAGAAAGGAACCAGCAGAGATATACTTAAGGAGGCCTAAATGCACTGTTATGCTTTCACCCTGATCCCAATTACAGTGCTGCAGATGTGTGCGGAATGGGCCATTATGCAATACGCTTCAGTTAAAAACACACAGGAAAAGAAATATGTTCCCAAAGTAGTTCCTTAAGAAGAAAAGAGAGGGAGGGAAATGGATTTTACAGTGGCATTATTATAAATGAGAGACAGAAAAATATACAGGTACAAAATGCAGGAAAAGAAGGTTTCTGGAGAAAGCAAATACAGGTCAATTCTACCGCTAGCTGTATGACCTGTTTTCAAGAAGCAATATTAAATTTCTACCTTGAATTCAGAAACTAACATGAGAGTTTTTGCACCGTTTACGACCAGTTTGTAACATACCTGGGTTATAGAAAGACTACTGTTTTACCCAGGGTTCTGGCTTTAAAAATGGGCTGGCAGAAGCGTGTGCTGTTAATTCTCCAATTCTATTTTTGACTCTAATCTGGTAAATAGGAAAGCCAAATAGCATTGTATACACCTGGGGAGCAGGAAAGTTTTAGGGGTAGGAACAGACTTCCTCCCTTTTTTAATTCACTGACCAATCAGTCAAGATGGAGAGTGCAGGATGTGTTGCATTTGTAACACCTGTGGCATGTCTGTTTTCTTCCCAATGAGGTGTCTGGGTAGAAATGCTCTAAGTGTTAGTTGGTGGTCCTCTTTGAAGACATAAAAGGATTTCATCTGACACTATTTCCTTTTGAAAAGGACATTTGGAAACGCAGCCTTCCAACACAAGCCTGACGCCTTGGCATCAAGCTGTGAGCTGCCATCCCCGAGGAATCACGGAGGCTCAGCTGGCAGATCTTCCTCACTCACCACATGGATCTTCAGATCGATAGACAGGCGGATATGGTAGGGCACGTCGTATTCCCGCATGTCCACTATGTTGTCCATCTGGTCTGCGGTCTTCTTGGAGGGCTCCTCCTCCTGAGTGGTCAGGCTGCTCCCCGTGAGGGCGCTAGAAGGAAGAAAGGGAGGACTTGGTGAGCAAGGTTTACAGACCGCCAATTAATGCACTACGGCAGCTGTGCGGGAGCTCCCTTCTCTGTGGCACTCATGATGTGATAGAAGGATGATAAATGGGGCTACGTCACCACTCCCTCCTAGCAGAAATCACTTGCCAGCAATGCTTGGATACAGAAATATGAAAACGGAACCAGAACTCAGTTGCCTGCTGCGTAGACAGCTCAGCGGTTTAGGTCTCTGGACTCTATAATCCATAGGGCCCCTTCTAGCTCTGCGGATCTAAGATTATTTAACTGCTGGAGAGATCGGTGATTTAGGTCTGTGGCTATTGAGCCAGAGGTTGGGAGTTCGATTCCCGACACTGCCTCCTTGAGAGGGGCTGGGCTCCATGATCCACAGGGTCCCTTCCAGTTCTGCAATTCTAGGATTATTATTATTATTGCATTTATAAAGGTACTAACCAACGGCACTGAGGAAAGGACAAGCTGCGAAGTGAACTGTAGGGGAAGAGCAGGATAATCCTTCCCTCTTCCAACCATGCATACCTTTCCAGGAATTCAACAACAATGGTACTTCAGGGGATTTCATAACTGGAAGCAGCAAAACACGGTCTGGCCTTTTGAGGCTAAGAGGGAGCCGAAGGGGATCCCAGACCCGGCCTTCGGCTACTCTACCTGGCGAGCATAGAGGTGTAGGCGTCCACCGACTGGTTCCGTTCTCTGTTCTTCCTCACAGCAGGCGTGATCTCCCTGCGCACTTTCACCAGGTCGTCCACGGTGTGGAAGGAGAGCTTGATGTAGTTTCGCTTCAGCCCCACCAGGTGATTTGGCTATTATTGAAAAAAAGAGAGGCTTCACTAAGAAGGTTAGGCGAGCTTTGAAGAAGTCAACAAGATGCAGTCCATGGAGAGGGAAGAGACAGAATAGCGACAACACATTGCCAACATGATGGGAGAAAGATAACAGGACAAAGAAGCTAAGGAAGGCTATGCGGGATTTCAGGCACGAGAAAGCATCTACAACGAGGGCCACAAAACAGACACACAAAGCATGTTGCACCAAAACATCACTGAAACAATACGATATTAGCAAGAAGAACCTCCTTCCGTATTCAAAGGTTTTTGATTACTGTACTATCAATACCTGTAGTATATTTTTATTTTGTAGTCATTTCCAGGAGAATTCTTGTCTTTTCTCTTTCCTTTTCTCTGAGCTCCTTATATTGATGATTTATTTTTAATAGGGATGGGGATTCTGGTATTTTTTGAACAACAACACCCAGATGTCTGCTGGAACTGCGCTAACTATAATTCTGGGTGGGTTTAGTTCTCCTCTCAAAAGCCCTTCAGAGGAATTGGCCAGGGGAGGCTAAGCTCCATGGCTCTGCAAAACATGAGGGGTATTGTACTTTATCGATCCATTATGCTCCGCACAGGGTAGCCTTTCAGGAAGCTACAATACCCCTCATGCTTTGCAGGGCCACATAATTTAGCCCCACCACCTCCCCAGTTCCTCTTCCTCAAAACTCTGATGTAGAGGAATTCCTCCTGCCCCACCACCACCCACCAGGCCGTTTATGCACCAGCTGTAGCCTGATCTACCTCAAAGGTTTCTTCTAAAGATAAAGGGGGGAGGAAGGAGAGCCACGTATGCTGCCTTGAGCTCCCTGGGTGAGCTAGAAATGCAATTCATAAAATTAGAAATATGGTTCTCACCAGGTCCAGATCCTCTTTCGGGACAGTCTCCAGCTTTGCAATTTTGCCCTGGAATTTCTTAGACAGGAAGGACGAGACTTCTCGGTCGCAACCCTACAGAGACAACAACAAATCAGAGGAGCCAAGAATGAATCTCCCTTCCTTTGCAATCCTTCTCTAAACTTCTTTGCCTGAGGAAACTGTTTCTGTGCTGGTGTCTCTTAAAAGCAAACCCTCCTGGAGTTTTCAAAGAATGAGGGAACATGGAAGGGTTTCCATTCTGCCCCTGTACGGGTGTGATTGGACTTCTTAGGTCTCACTGATGTTGTGCTAAAACTCAGAATACACCTGAAACAAACCCAAAACTCTCTTCAGGTTGGACACTGACCCAGAAAGACAGGTAATAAAATAAAATAGACCTGTCTTTTACGTGAAATAGGCTGCCACTGATTATTTCCTTATTTAAGAGTCTGTATTATATAGGGCTGTCTGTGGAGGACAGCCCTATAAACTCTCACATAACTGTCTGAGCACCCATTAAACTGGAGCTTTTTAATTGCTTCTTAGTGTTTTGGCTTGCTTTAGTTATCCTTCTGTTCAAACACATTAGACACATCCACCGTTCAAACACCTTAAGACTGTAATCCTACACATTTCCATTCAGAAACAGCCTTTGCCAAATTCAGAGGGATGTGTATCCTGCTAAACAGGTATAAGACTGAAGCCTAAAGGGGTTTAGGATTGGCCTTAGTCAAGGGACTGCAGTTTTATGCCTGGCTTGGGAAGTTCCCTCTCACCTTCTGGGTTGCAATGTAGAAGTATGGCTTATAGGGCAAGGCAACCTAGAAAAGAGCAAAGACAAGTCAGTTCCACACAACTGTACAACGGTCCCTATCTGCGGGATCAGTATCTGTCGTTTCACTTACCCGCTGCTTAACACTATTAAATAGATATGTATATCTGTTTCCAGGTATATCTAGATAGATAGATACGGAGAGACAGACATACGTTTTGCTTTTATCCACTATTTCTGGCATCTGCGGGGGGATTAGAACTGATTCACCTCAGAGTCCTCCCTGCGAAGACGGCGCAGCTAGAGCAATGTACCCATCTCCCCCTGCCCCAAACTTTACAACACAAGCAGCTGTTCCATGGGATTTCTCTCATGTTTACTTCTCACATGGAAAAGGGAAACGGGGACTCTGTGGACAAGGGTTGTTTTAATCCAAAGACTCGTGTAGAAAGAACACCCAACTCCCAACACATCCCACCCTGTTGACCAAGAAAGCAGGGGAGGCGACACTGGATGTTGCAGACATTGGTGTAAGAAAATGATCTTTGCTGCTTTGGCACAATTTCTGAAAAATGTTTTCAAGGAGGGGAGGCACACAGATCACCTGTAGGAAGCCTGACTTGTTATTTCCCCCCCGAGTTCTAAAAGACAGTTTGAACACCAACGTGTTCACGTCCTGAGGGAGGGGAAACACACTACTGTTTTTGCCTGCATTAAAATGCTTGCTGAAATGCTGTCGTGCATTATTTTGCTCTGCTCACTGATCAGGTTTCCAACAGGGTTTTCAAGGGGCCCGCAAGGATCAATCTCAAGGGACCTTAGTCTCCTCCTCGGACGCAAACTCACCTTAAACCTGCCTCCATCCTCCTGAATGAAATAGTAATCCACAGCACTAATCAAACATTTATCGTCATCCAAAATCTCTGTCTAAAACAGACAAGGCCACAAATGAGAGAGATTGTGATGTGAGCCCCACACACTCCTCTCCATCTAGGACTGTGGTTCCCAACCTTGGCTTCCCAAAAGGGTCTTGGACTGTGAACGCCCAAATCCCCAGCTGGCACAGTCAGTGGCGAAGTCTTCTGAAAGTTGCAGTCCAAGGACACCTGGGGTCCAAAGGTTGGGAACCTCTGCTCTAGGAACATTGGCTCCAGACCAGCCAAATTCTCAGCCTCCAGAACTAAAGAGTTTCCACACCCACCAAAGAGGAGTCAATCAAGTTTTTATTTTATTTCTTTATTTATTTAATTTCTATGCCGCCCAATCTACCCAGAGTTCTCTGCATGTGATGAAGCTGAGGCTCCTGTCCATGGAGAGCAAACATGCCACCTCTTGACCAAATGAAAACACTGGGGCTCTTCTGCCTCCTGATGTGGATAACTGTGATGTCATTCAAGGCAGGTCATGTGGGTGTTTCCATTTGTGACATCACTCTGAACAGGTCACCTGACTACATATTATTGTGATGTCATTCTGCATGTGACTATGCATGGCCAAGCACCAAAATTCACCTGGCCATTTTACAGCCAGGACAACACAGGGTGGAAAGGTGCTCCGATGACTCTTGGTTTGGCACTGCTATTCAGTTCTGGAGAGGTCCGTCATGATGTGCGTCTCCAAACATAGGGTTATGGTGTCAGAATATAGTATGGCATAGTCTGACAAGACCTCAATGACTTCTCTCTCAGCATCACAGGATAATTTATTTATTTATTTCATTTAAAATATTTTTAACCAGGCTTTCCCCTTAAAAAGGACGCAAGGCGGCTGACATCAATGAAGGACATCATTGAAAGCTAGCAACTGTGAGTATACAAATACTAAGAAGGATCAAACAAATACTACACTACAAAATGGTAAATAAAAGCAACACCAAAACACGTCCAAAGAAGTAAGGGACAATCATCCATTTAAAAAATCCCCTTGGTCAAACCAGTCATAAAAGGAAAGCTTCCCTGAAGAGAAAAGCCTTTGTTAGCTTGTGGAAGGGTAGTCAAGACGGGGCCAGGCTGGCCTCCAGTGGCAGGAAGTTCCAGAGTCTGAGAGCAGCCACAGAGAAGGCCCTCTCCTGTGTCCCCACCAACTCATCTGTGAAGGTGGAGGGACTGAGAGAAGCGTCTCTCCTGAGGACCTCAACGCCCAGGCAGGCTCATAAAGGGAGAAACAGTCTTTGAGATGGCTTGGACTCAAGCTATTTAGGGCTCTATAGGTTAAAGCAAGCAATCTGAATTGTGATCAGAAATAGTTCGGCAGCCCGTGGAGCTGCTCTAACAAGAACAACCATTCTTTTCAAAGAAACCATCCCTACTGCCTAAATCATGGATCCACGGAATTATGGAGCTGAAAGAGGCCTACAAGGTCATCAAGTCCAACTTCCAGCTCATTGCAAATTAATAGAGAAGGGACAGAAAATGGTTTTTGTTTTGATTCTGTCATTCCATCCACATTCCTACTACTATTTCTAGATATTGGGTCGCCAGTCATCTTTCAGAGCATGAACAAAACGTCCTACACACTGAACGCAGGAAAGACAGTCCTATATGCAGTAGGTACATTCAGTAAAACGACCCTGGCTGAGCTGCAGTCCGAAGGCACTAACAGAGAGGAAGGGCGGTACCTACAGGGTGCATGTTGATCAGCCAGCCGGTCCTTTCTCCAGGTTCCTTCACCCTCTCGAACCCAAACTGCGCATCGATCTTATCCGTGCGCTGGCTGCGCTCCAAGCGCTTGAGTGCTGAGAGGGAGGCGCTGTCATCCCTGCGACAAGAGAAGGCCAGAAGCGTCAGCGCACCATCCAAGCCATAAATAATCTATCTATCTAGATCTGTGTGTGTGTGTGTGTGTGTGCGTTTGCCATGTCTTAGAGTATTACTGTACTTTTTAAAGATTTTTGGATACTGATGGATCTTTGCCTTGATATTGCCTTTCAGCCACGAAAGCTGCCTCTTTATACCCGATGCTTCTCCTTTCTAAATGCTTCCTTTCAAAGGCCTGAAACCCCCCCCCCCGCTTGTTGACTCCTTGCTTTCCACTTGAGATTCGGGCCTGCCAGGGCTCTCGACCGCCTGGGCTGTCAGAGGCGCCTCAAGGAGAAAGGCGGGGGGGGGACAAAAAAACACCCCATTATAAATAAATACATAAATCAATATGGATGTGGGCATGCGTACATAAAAACCGTAATAGAGTGTGTGTGAGTGTGAAAGTGTGTGTGGCTCCCCAAGGCCTCTGAAG